GTTGGGGTGGGTGGGCGAAATGGTGAGGTGGTCAGAAGGTGCAAACTTCCAGTTATAAAGTAAATCCCGGGACCTAACGTACAGCACGGTGGCTGCAGTTAACAATATTGTATCATATATTTGAAAGTTGCTAAGAGAATGGATATTAAAAGTTCTCATCACAAGAAAAAAATATTTCTTAACTATGTGAGGTGATGGATGTTAACTAAACTTAGTGTGGTAATCATTTTGCAACATCTATATGTCACATTATTGTTAGGTACACCTAAAACTAATAATGTTAGATGTCAGTTATATCTCAATAAAACTGGGGGAGAGAATAGAAAAACTTAGGGGTTTTTCTATTGTGATATAATTGATCTATAACATTATATTAGTTTCAGGTATACAACATAATGATTCAATATTTGTGTATATTGTGAAATGATCACCACAATAAGTCTATTTAACATCCATCCTCATACATAACTACAAAAAATTATTTTTTCTTATGATGAGAACATTTAAGATCCGTTCTCTTAAACAACCTGTTAACAACACAGTCACTATACTGTAATTTAGGAGTTTTTAAAGCCAAAAAAAAATCTAGGAGAAAGTGCCTGGAGAACCTTGAGAGGGAGGAATTTTGTATGTCAAAGTCATTTTCAGCTTGTAATTTAACTCCTTACTATGGGAAATTATAGGAAGATTAAAATGTTTCTGTAAAACGAGTGTTGGAACGTGTCTGAAGATCCAGCCAAGGAAAGTGATACCCGTTTTACAGTCACCCTTGGAAGTCACAGGGGGTACAGCCTAATTTTATGCCCTCCCAGGGCGCTAGCTGGAGTGAAACAGGGTGTCTGGCTCTTCGGGCTTCACTGTGAGTTGGAGTGCAGGCCTGACCGGGATCCTTCAATTGCTGCATCCGGGACTTGCTCACGTCCTGGTCCCATTGATACTGACTACAGCTGCTCCTTAATGAAATATCATCTCCTCTGGCCTATAGGGATCTACCTCCCCAAGATATTCTGCTGACCTCCTGGATTTTCTTCCTCATTCCGCTCCCAGGCTCCTCTTCCCCCCCTTTGAGAATTGGTGTCCTGGGCTCCCAGCCTTAGCCATTTCTCTAGTGATCTCTACTGCTGACATTTCCAGCCCTGGCCTAGCCTCAAGCCTGCTTCTGGTTGGGTGACCCCAGGAGCCTCAAATGCAATGTGTACAAATGAGACTCCCACTCTTTTTCTTTTTTCCTCATTGCTTTTCAGAGAGAGTGGAAGGGGGAGAGAGAGAGAGAGAGAGAGAGAGAGAGAGAAACATCGATGTGAAAGAGACACATCTATTGGTTGCTTCCCCCACACGCCCAACCAGGGCTGGGGATTGAGCCTGCAATCAAGGTATGTGCCTTTGGCCAGAAGTGAACCTGGGACTCTTCAGTCTGTGGGCCGATGGTCTAACCACTGAGCCAAACCAGCCAGGGTACAACTCTTGTCCCAGTTGTCTATCCTTATTTCTTGGATCCCCTACCCTCGAGTTTTGCGCTGACCCTGTTTCAGTCAGTAAAACAACAGAAATCCAGACTAGCCATGCTTCATCCAGATTGAGATGGACTTATGGGCAAGAAGTATGAAGGCCATCCAACAATGCCATCAAGGATAGAACCCAGGCTTTTTCCATCTTCATGTCATCATGCCGTACCCTTGACCTTATGTCTATAGAACCATCAGAGAAAAGGAAAAGGGACAAAGATATATGACAATTAAGAATGTCTCTTTAAGAAAATCTTACCTGGAATCTCCCACGTTCTCACCCCCGACATTGGCTTCTGTTTATATCTCCTTGACCAGAAATGGGTCACATGGCTGCTCCTAGCTGCAAGGGAGGCTGGGAAATTGTGAATACTTATCTTTTCCAGTCTGTATGGTAGAGGAAGGCAAAGGAAAAGAGGGATGTGAATGGTTTTCAAGAAACCAATTCACAGAATTGTTTAGAGTACCTTCTTGAGTCACTCACCAGTTCATACTGATTTTTCTGTCATAAAACTACTTTTTTGTTGAAGTTCAGACCTTTCGTTTGGACTGTTCCAATGATCTCCTAGCTGGGCATCCTAGAACTAGATGAGTGCTGTCCAACAGAAATATAATGCAAGTCACATCTGTAGCTTAAAATGTTCTAGTAGCCACATTTTAAAAACATTAAAAGAAATAGATGAAATGAATTTTATAATGTATTTTACTTAACCCATTACATCTAAAATGCCATTTCAACTTGGAACCAATATAAAAATTATAAAGATCTTTTACACTCCCTCCCCCTTTTTTTGGTGTGCTAAATCTTCAAAATCTGTTTTTTACTTCCAGAACAGTTTGAAATGGCCACATTTCAGGTGCTCAATAGCCAGAGGTGGCTAGTGGGCTCTGTATTGTACAATATAGGCCTAGATGCTTTCCTTTTCCCATTCATTATGTGCAGGTGTCCATGGGCACAGGTCTAATCAAGTTACTGAGTTGTTACAAAACCTTCCGTGGCTCCCCTCTGCCTACCCAGGAAGGCCACATGTCCTTAGTCTTGGTTTGGTATGCAGGATACTAGAGAGTTTGACCCACTGCAGTTCTCTAGTCTTGTTTCCTGTCACCTGTCGGGCCATAGCAGGCTACTTTTGCTTTCCCTTGGGCTCAGCTCAGGTGCCTCTGTGTCTTCAATCTTTCCCCTCTGTGAAACCCATATCTCAATCCATCACAGTCTTACTCTCCTCTCCCACAAGATGGAGCTCAGATACCTTCCTGGCCATGAATACTTCCTCAGATTCCCTTGGTTCTCCTGCCCCCCATTTAACACTTACTGAGTAGGTGCCAAGCAGATGGTTAGGGCTGTGTATGTACTGCTGAGCAGGATCAACTCCAGCCATGACCACACATCTTGGAGTTGGAGACTGCAAGCCAATGAATGACTAGGTGTGTGTGTTTTCATAGGAACTACTCTTTCTATGCATTGGACAACCAAAACCTAAGGCAGCTATGGGACTGGAACAAACACAACCTCACCATCACTCAGGGGAAACTCTTCTTCCACTATAATCCCAAACTCTGCTTGTCGGAAATTCACAAGATGGAAGAAATTTCAGGAACCAAGGGGCGCCAGGAGAGGAACGACATTGCCCTGAAGACCAATGGGGACCAGGCGTCCTGTAAGTGGTGATACCCTTCCAGCTTGTGGACCAGATAGTGTGGCTTCCCTTTCCTTCACCCACAACATTGGCCCCCAGTGGTTATCACTGCCTCCCCAGTGAGTTTAAATAACTATGTGTGATAGGCTTTCTGAAATACTGAGGACAGGTGTTGTACGTCTTATCTCTGTACCTACTGGACCAGATACAGTGCCTGATACTGGAAGATAAGCATTGACTGAACTAATGAATGATACCTCCTTATATATGGCCTTGGCTCAAATGCTACAGTAGGTCTGCAGTTGCTACAGCTGGAGGCTGTCAGCTGACTGCACTCCTCTCACAGGTTCTCTCTAGAAGGGGTATCTGAGCATTGAACTACCAGGATTTCTGTAATACCATCATGTGGAGTTGATTTCTTACAGCAGAATGTGGTCCACACTGTGGGAATTCTGGGGAGGAAAAGTGTGGTTGGGGTGGAGCTTAAGGGAGACTTGCATTTCAGGCAGAGGAAGTTATTCTCTCCAATGTATTGGAGAGCCGAGGATCTGTCTGTGCAAGGTATAATGATCCGCACACTCACTAAACTCACTTAGCACATGCTCATTTGCCCTGGAGTTACATCTATCATGCCAGGCTTGAGAATCCATGTGCATGACAAAGTTGTGTCAGGACTCTTAAAAATCCCTAACTATTGGCCAGTTTTCCTTCTTGCATTGGTGCCAACTGCTGTTATTCAGTTGAGCATCTGGCCAGGTAATTGACTGGCAGTAGGGGCCAACTGGCATGACTAGTCTAACATACTGGGAGACACATGTGGAAGCAAGACCTGTCCACAGAACAGCAGATTGACATCTCCTTTACATGGACATTTTTGGGAGTGTAGGATCACTGTTTTGGGCTGAAACAAATGATGAAATACTGATATTGCTTTTTTGAAAAAACCCACAACTTTTCTAGGTGAAAATGAATTACTTAAATTTTCTTACATTCGGACATCTTTTGACAAGATCTTGCTGAGATGGGAGCCATACTGGCCCCCTGACTTCCGAGACCTTCTGGGGTTCATGCTCTTCTACAAAGAGGCGTAAGTAGAGAGTAAAGAGGTGTGGGTATTGCATGTGTGCTCATTGTTTCCCTCTGAGGCTCCTCTCTATATTCTTCCCACTTGTCGAATAAACTTGTGGAAAATCCAGAAATTGATGCAGATGGGTTTCATTTGGAGGTCCAGATTGTCCAATTTCCTATAGCAATATTTTATTTTGCCCTTTATATGTACATCTCACCAGATTTCCTCAACAAAAGGTTGTTAAGTGTACTTTATAGGTTTTTAAAATTTTATTTTTTACCTACTTCGTATTTTTCCAACATTTGAAAAATTGTGGGAGGGAAATCCAAGATGGCAGTGGAGTAGGTGGATGTTAAACTCGCCTCCTCCCAGTGATAAACTGGAATTACAACCAAAATATAGAGCAATCAACCCGAATAACCAACTCAACACTAGCTGAAGAAAAATTTTACAATCAAGGATTTGTAGAAGAAGCCACATGAAGACTGGTAGGAAGAAGGGCAGAGACTCAAAAGGGCTATCCCCTCTCCCTGGGCAGCAGCTGAAATTTTGGAAGGATATCTCAGCTGCAAAGGTTTCCCCCGAGAAGCATGAGGTTCCAACCCCAAGCTGGGCTCCTGAGGCCAGAGTACTAGAGCTGGGAAGAAGTGCCCATATAACATATGGCTGTGAAAATCAGCAAGGAATCTGCCTGCCAGGGAGATGGAAGAGTACGCTAGGGACACCGGCACCCTAATGCAACCAAAATCTTGTTCTCAGCCTAATGCACAAAATCTTGTTCTCAGCCACTCACCCTGTGCTCCTGTGAAGGGATGGTGGAACGGACTAGAGTCTCCAGAGGAGAGACTGGAGTTTGGGGCTCTGGAGAGAGAGGGCTGAAGGGATAGCCAACAGGATTCCTGTACTTAGTTCATCTCCTGCACCACGGACACCATCTTTCTTGAGTAGAGCACTCTCTTCCATATGGTATTAGCCTGAGGGAGTGCAATAGGCCCACCCTCTGGACTCCTTGTTGCCTCACCCTGCGTAGCTTGGGCCCTGCTGAGGAGTCAGCTGCCTAGACCTGGATGTAGAGATCTGGGAAGACTCAGGTGGTGTCAGTGACTGAGTTGTGTGGCTTTGTGGCAGGCTCCATTTCCCCCACTTTCTGGTGAACCTGACTGGAGGTGCCTCCCCTGCAGGGGAGATCCACTAGCCCCATCCTCTTGACTACAGGTGGGCAGAATCCAGGACAGATTGAGTTGTGTGGCTTTGGGATGGGGGACACTCCCCTCACCTCCGCCAAGCCTGACCGACAGCAACTCCAAGCCTGATTGACAGCTTCCCCTCATGAGAGATCCACTAGCCCCATCCTCTTGACTTCCCCCTGCTGTGATTGGACAGACTCTGGGATAGACTGAGTTGTGTGGCTTTAGTATGGGGGCCATTTTTCCTTCACATGCCCTACTTATACAGAGCCCTCCCTTCACAGGGCCGAATCTTGCTCTTTTTGGGCCTGATAAACTGCTGGCCTTACCCTGACAACTCCCTAGACCCCACCCCATCACAAAGATGTGTGAGCACCCAGTGGGTGGCAGGTAGACTGTATATACTGGGAAATTTGCTGAGTGGCCTCAGACCCAGCAGGCACCTAGTTTGAACCTGTATCAATCTGGTGAACACCATTCACCCCGCCTGGTGATTCACTGAGAATCTACCTCATTCAACTTGAGTACCTCCAGAGGCTCTTTCAGTGACTGAGCCTAACAGGCAGCTGACAGGCAGAGGCAGACAGAGGCTGATCTCAGGGTGTATCGGAACTTTTGTTGACCTTTCCCCGGGCCCGGAGCTGGTAAAAGCCAGCCTTGTGCAGAGCTTGGTACTACTGGCACACACCCAGGTCCAGCAGAGGCAGCCACAATTGTAGATCACTTTGAAGATCCAAACCAGTTGTCCAGGGCCAGTGAAAGGCAGCGTCTGATATTGGACTGTGCCAGAGTCCTTTCTAAGAGCTGACACACCTACAGGCCAGCTTTAGACAACGTCAGAGCAGGATCCAGTTAGCTTCACAAGTTGCATATTCAAAGGGAAATCTCAGCAGGCACTAGACCCTGCAGAGAATTTAGCTCTGTGTAATTAGCACCTGCACAAAGCTCATACAGTGTGGTTGGGGTTGATCCTCATAGTCAGCCAGCCTGAGGGCCGACCCCATCCAGGAACAGACCAATAGCAATCAAGACTCAAGTACAAGAGAAGGGTCCACATAACCCCCACAAGGGACATTCCTGGAACACCCAGCTCAGGTGACTAAGGAAACTACACAGCGAGGTCCCACAGGACACTTACTATATAAGGTCACCCTACCAAGACTGGGAGTCATAGCAGATCTTGCTAATACATAGAGACAAACAGAAAGAGGCCACCAAAATGGGGAGACAAAGAAACATGCCCCGAATGAAAGAACAGGAGAAAGCTCCAGAAAAGAGTGAAATGAAATGGGGGCAAGCGATTAATCAGATACAAAAAGTGGTTATAAGGATGCTCAGGGAACTTAGTGAGAATTACAACAGCAAGAAAAAGGACATAGAAACCATAAAAAGAACCAGTCAGAAATGAAGGATACAATATCAGAAATGAAGAATACACTAGAAGGAATAAACAGGAGGTTGAATGAAGCAGAGGATTGAATCAGTGATTTGGAGGATAAGGTAGCAGAAAACACCCTACCAGAGCGGCAAAATGAAAAAAGAATTTAAAAAAATGAGAAAAGTTTAAGGGACCTTTGAGACAACATGAAGCCTACCAACATCCGCATCATAAGGGTGCCAGAAAGAGAAGAGATAGCACAAGGGATTGAAAACCTATTTGAAGAAATAATGACAGAAAAATTCCCTAACCTGGCAAAGGAAAAGACACACAAGTTCAGGAAGCACCTAGAGTCCCAAACAAGATGAACCCAAAGAATCAGCTGATTTCTCAACAGAAACATTTCAGGCTAGAAGGGACTGGCATGAAATATTCAAAGTGTGAAAAACAAGGACCTACAAACAAGACTACTATACTGAGCAAGGCTATCATCTAAAATTAAAGGAGAAATAAAGAGCTTCCCAGAAAGAAAAAACTGAAGGAGTTAGTTTCCACAAAACCTGTATTACAAGAAATGTTAAAGGGTCTTCTAGAAGGAGAGGGAGGAGGAGGAGGGGCGGGAGAAGAAGAAATAATAGAGGAACATAGGCGTAAAGAATAAAACTGTCAATAAATACATACCTATCAATCATCACTTTAAGTGTAAATGGTTTAAATGCTCCAATCAAAAGAAATATGATGGATAAGAAAACAAGATCCATATATATGATGTCTACAGAGACACACCTCAGAATGAATGATACACACAGACTAAGAGTAAAGAGATTGAAAAAGGTATTTCATGCAAGTGGAAATGAAAAATAATAAAAGCTGGGGTAGCAATACTATAAGTGACAAAATAGACTTTAAAGCAAAGGCTATAGTAAGAAGCAGAGAAGGACACTACATAATGATGAAGGGAGCAATCTTACAAGAGGATATAATCCTTATAAAAATTTTGCACCCAACCTAGGAGCACCTAAATATGTAAAACAAATCTTGATGGACCTGAAGGGAGAGATTGATGATAATAAAGTCATTGTAGGGGATTTTAACATTCAATTGACCACAATGGATAGAAGTTCCAGACAAGAAATCAACAGAGAAATAGCGGGCTTAGATGACACACTAGATCGGATGGATTTAATTGATACCTTTCGAGCATTTCACACCAAAGCAGCAGAATATACATTCTTTTCAAGTGCACATAGAACATTTTCTAGGATAGACCACATGCTAGGACGCAAAACAAGTCTCAATAAATTTAAGAAGGTTGAAGTAATGTCAAGCATCTTTGACCATGAAACTAGAAATCAATCACAAGAAAAAAACCTGAAAAACACAAAGACATGGATGCTAAAAAATATGTTAATGAGCAATGAATGGGTTAACATTTAGGTCAAGGAAGAAATCAAAAGATACCTTGAAACACATGAAAATGAGAATGCAGCAACCCCAAATTTTGGGACACAGCAAAATCAGTTATAAATGGGAAATAGCATTTCAGGCCTATTTCAAGAAACAAGAAAAATCTCAAACAGTCTTACCTTACACTTAAAGGAACTATAAAAGGAACAACAGAGCCCAGAGAGAGTAAAAGAAAGGAAATAATAAAGCTCAGAGAAGAAATAAAATAGAATCTAAAAAACAATACAAAAGATCACTGAAACTAAGATCTTTTTCTTTGAAAAGATAAACAAGATCGGCAAACCTTTAACCACACTCATCAAGAAAAAAAGATATGAAGACCCAAATAAATAAAATGGGAAATGAAAGAAGTAACAGCTGGCAGCACAGAAATACAAAGGATTATAAGAAAGTATTACAAACTATACACCAACAAACTGGACACTGTGGATGAAATGAATAAATTCCTAGAAACATACAGTCTTCCAAAATGAAATCAATAAGAATCAGAAACTCTGAGTAGACAGATTAAAACTAAGGAAATTAAAGTAGTAATAAAAAAAACTCCCAACAAAAAAAAGTCCTTGCTTGGATGGCTTCACAGGAGAATTTTGCCAAATATTCAAAGAACTAACACCTATCCTCAAATTATTCAAAAAAATTCAAGAGGATGGAAGACTCCCAAGCTCATTTTACGAGATCAGCAGTATCTTAATTTTAAAACCAGATAAAGACTCTACAAAGAAATAAATTTATAGGCCAGTATCCTTGATGAACAGAGATTCTAAAATCACCAACAAAATATTAATAAACCGAGTCCAGCAATACATTAAAAAGGTCATACACCACGACCAAGTGAGATTTATTCCAGAGATACAAGGTTGTTACAGTATGTGCAAATGAGTAAATGCGATACACCACAGAAACAAAAGGAAGGATATAAATTACATGATCATATGAATAGATGCAGAAAAAGCATTTGATAAAATCTAGCACCCATTTATGATGAAAACTCTCAGCCAACTAGGAATAGAGGGAACATAAAAGCCATATATGACAGACCCATAGAAACATCACAATTCAGGGATGTCCACTTTCATCATTCATATTTGATATAGTACTGGAAGTCCTGTCCACAGCGATCAAAGAGAAGAAATAAAAGGCATCCAAATTGGAAAGAATGAAGTAAAACTCATTATTTGCAGATGACATGATACTATATGTGGAGAACCCTAAAGATTCCATCAAAATACTAGAACTGATAAGTGAATTCAGTAAAGTAGAAGGTACAAAATAAATATCCAGAAATCAGTTGCATTTTTATACACCAATATTGAACTATCAGAAAGGGAAACTAAGAAAAGTCCCATTTACAATTGCATCAAGAAAAATAAAGTACATAGGAATAAATTTAACCAAGGATGTAGTAGATCTGTATTTGGAAAAGTATAACACACCTTATAAAGAAATCAGAGAAGGTACAAATAAATTGAAGCGTATACCATGCTCAGGGGTAGGAGGAATAAACATTGTTAAAATGTCCATACTACACAAAGCAATGTACAGATTCAACTCAGTTCCTATCAAGATACTAATGTATTTCAAAGAACTAGAGCAAATATTACAAAAATTTGTATGGAACCAGAAAGACCCTGAATAGCCACAGTGATCTTGAGAAAGAAGAACAAATTTGGAGGAATCATACTACCTGATATCAAACTATACTACAAGGCCATAGTAATCAGCATGGTACTGGCATAACAACAGACATTTAGATCAATGCAATAGAATAGAGAGCTCAGAAATAAATCCACTCCTTTTTGGTCAGCAAATACTTTGCAAAGGAGTTGAGAACATACAAAGGGGTAAAGATAGTCTTCGACAAATGGTTTTGGGAAAACTGAACAGATACTTGCAAAAAAAAGGTAACTAGACCATCTTCTTACATCATACAAGAATAAACTGAAAATGGATTAAAGACCTAAATGTAAGTCTCAAAACCATAAAATTTCTAGAAGGAAACACAGGCAATATTTTTTTCTGATATATTTCCTCAGGTAAGGGAAAGAAAAGAAAAAGTAAACAAAAGGTACTACATCAAACTAAAAAGTTTTAGCACAGAAAAGGAAAACAACAAAAGGAAAAGAAAACCCATTAAATAGACCATATTAATGATACATCTAATAAAGGGTTAATATCCAAACTTTCTAAAGAATTCATGGAATTTAACACCAAAAAACAAGCAATTCAATTAGAAATGAGCAAAGGACCTGAATAGACACCTCTCCAAAGAGGACATACAGATGGCCAATAGACATACGAAAAGATGCTCAATGTCACTCATCATCAGAGAGATGCAAATTAAGACCACAATGATATATCACTTCACACCTGTCAGAATGGTCCATCATGGACGGACCTGGAGAATATGCCAAGTGAAATAAGCCAGTCAGAAAAAGACAGGTACCATATGGTTGATTTCACTTGTATGTGGAATCTAATGAACAGAATAAACTAACAAGCAAAATAGAAATAGACTCGTAGATACAGAGAACAGATTGACAGCTGTGAGAACGGAGGGGTGTTGGGGGGATGGCTGAAAACATTGAAGGGATTAAGCAAAACAACCCCAAAACTCATAGACACAGTCATCAGTGTTGTGATTACCAGAGGGAACGGGAAGTGGGGAGAGGTAGAAGAGAGCCAATCGGGAATAAATGGTGATGGAAGGAGACTTGAGTTAGGGTGGTCAATATACAGTAGAATATATAGAAAATGTATTATAGAATTGTATATCTGAAACCTATGTAACTTTATTAATCAGTGTCACCCCAATAAATACAATAAAAAAATAAAATGACAACTGTTACAGTGCTTCAAAGGACAGAATCATGAAGTGACTTGACACATAGGTCAGGAAGAGCTTCCCTGGGGAACTAAGAATGGACTGAAACATGAAGGAAGGGCCAGAGCCACAGTGTCAAAAAGGCCAGAGGAGTAGCAAATGCAAGAACCCAGGAGACAGTGGGACACATTTGAAGAAGTGACCCAAGTGAAAAGCAGGAATGTGAGGCCTCATGGGAGAACGGGCTGGAGGGGTGATGAAGGGACAGTCCCTACATGGTCTTGTTGAATTGTAAGAATTTTGCTCTTTATTAAAACCATTGAAGAGAGAGAAAAAATTGCGGGAAAAGCACATAACACAAAACTGACCATTTAAACTCATTTGGAGCATCCAGCTCAATGGCACTGTGTATGTTTGTGATGTGCAGCCATCCCCACCATCCAGCTCAAGAATTTTCCATCTTCCCAAATGGAAACTCTCTGTCCACAGTAAACACCTAGTTTCGAGTGTACAGATGGGCTGAAATTTTAAAGGAAGATAATGGAAGTGATGATGGTGTTAATATCAATAATAGCTCCGTTTCTCAAGATTGATTATGAGTCACGCTGTGCGCTGAGGAGTTGCATACATTCTCTTATGTAGTCTTCTCAGGAACTCATGAGGTAGCTATTAGTATTATTACTGCTATTAAGAAACAATTACTATTAAATATTTCTTATCAAACATTATTTAATGATGTACATTACACATACTACATAATAAAGCTAAATATAGTATATAATGTAACTATATAATAATAAATATATTACTATTAATATTACTAATCACTATTATTAAATATTATTGAGAGTCAGGGGAGGTGGCTCCTTTCTCTTTGGATGTTTCTGTGTTGCTTTTCCTTGTGCATAAGGTGTTGTGAAGAGGATGCCGCCCTAGGGGGTGTCATTTCCCCTGGCTGCGTCTCTGGGGTCCTCAGAGCAATAGTTGGAAATGTTAACCAGCTTTCCTTTCACCTTGAAAGGCCTTACCAGAACGTGACGGAGTTTGACGGCCAGGATGCGTGTGGATCCAATAGCTGGACAGTGGTGGACATTGACCCCCCTCTAAGGTCCAATGACCCTAAGTCGCAGAACCACCCTGGGTGGCTGATGCGGGGCCTCAAGCCCTGGACTCAGTACGCCATCTTCGTGAAGACCTTGGTCACCTTTTCTGATGAACGTCGCACATATGGGGCCAAGAGCGATATCATCTATGTCCAGACAGATGCCACCAGTAAGTATATTGTGTGACTTAAATGAATTTGGGGGGGAGTCGGACGTCCTGCCTTTAACATGCTGGCATGGTGACATTGGATGAAGTGCTGTGTGCGTGGTAATCGTGCGTGCTGAGGTTTATCTTTTCAGAAGATGAGGCAGTCGCCACAGGCCACCTGAGGGGTATGTATATTTCTGCTTCCCGATGCGGAAAATTTTCAAATAGTTGCAAAAGTAGAAAGAAAAATAAACCCATGAACCATCTCGCAGCTTCAACAATTATCAACATTTTGCCACTTTTGTTCCCTTTTCTGCCTCTTTCCCCATCCCCATATTTTGGGGGTGCTGGAGTATCTCAGAACAATTCAGTTATACTTTTATAAAGCCTCTGTCCTCCGGTAGCAGTGGTTCTCCACAGGGGGTGACTCTGCCCCTGGGGGACATTTGGTGATGTCTGCAGACATTTGTGGTGGTTGTGATTGTGCATTGAGTGAGTGGAGACGAGGGATGCTCCTCAGCATCCTACAGAGCCCAGAACGGCCCAGTGTCAGCGCTGCTGTGGAAACCCCATAGGATAGAATCCAAGCTTCACGAGTCAGCCTCAGCTCCTTCGGCTAGTGCCCTCTCATCTTGTGCCCTCCAGCAATACGAAAGGACTTACAGTTTCTGGAAACTTCCAGCTCCCAGGTCTTTGATATTCTATTTTATTTTACCGAATAGAGAGAGAGAAATTTGTTCCACTTGTTTATGCATCGTTGGTTGATTCTTGTATGTGCCCTGACTGGGGATTGAACCTGCAACCCTGGCATATGAGGATGACGCTATAACCAACTGAGCTGCTCCTCCAGGGCATCCTGTACCCCACCTCTCACAACTCTCAGCCACCTCCATTCTCGAGGGAAGGTTTTGTGGGGGCCAAAGGTGATGCATTTGGAGGGGTGTCAGATGCGTTGCCAGCTCAGTGATCCTATTGAATGGCATCTAGCTGCCAAAATTTGCCCTGTGACTGGGTTCAATTTGGGGTGTTAACCGGAAAATGCGAGCTTGTCTCTTCCCAAGTGCTCCCTTTCCCCAGCATTTTTCCAGTGACCCAGGCAGAGAGCTGGGCACACGGTTGGAGCTGGACAAGTGCTCCTTGCGCGAGAGGGTGGATGAATGCGCACACGATCTGCATGACCTGTGGCCGGGGTGCGCTGTGGTTATGTACCTCACGTCCTGGGTGAGCATTCCGCACGTCTCCCGTTTTCTCTGCTGTTAAATAGCACCGCAGCAGACACCTTCATGGCTCTCTAACCTGTGTGACCTGTGCGTCCCCTCACAGCCGCCCCCCAGCTCGCACCCTCCTCACGGTGGACCTGTTTCCTTTCCCTTTCCAGATCCTTCCGTCCCCCTGGATCCCATCTCGGTTTCGAACTCTTCATCCCAGATTATCCTGAAGTGGAAGCCTCCCTCTGACCCCAACGGCAACATCACTCACTACCTGGTCTTCTGGGAGAGGCAGGCAGAAGACAGTGAGCTGTTCGAGTTGGATTATTGCCTCAAAGGTGAGTGCGGCCGGTGTGTGACAGTGGCAGGTTTTCACCCGTCTCACGCACCTTGTTCCGCTTCCATTTCCCAGCGTGTGCACGAGAGCAGACTTGCACACACACCCTGTTCCATCTCACACATACGCGTTTCCAAACATCACAGCACGAGCACACACTCTGACGTCTTGTGCGAAACCAGGTATTTCCTATGTCTTGGCGGCATTTCCCTCTGGAATTTTCTTCTCCGTCCCCTCCCCTCCTCCTCATCGCTCCCCACACCCTGTCCCAATGGGGATGGAGCTGCGTTAACCCGCAGGAGACTCCCCTGCTGGACTAGAAAGAACCGAGAGTGTTGAGAGGTGCTTGACAAAGTCAGGGAAGGATTTTGGCCCATAAATTTAGACCCTTAAGTTTTAAAGAACCGAGACAGCAAGGAGTGACAGTCTATTTCCTCCTGTGCTTTCTATTAGAAATTTATACTGATAATTTTTTCTTTTAGTCTTTAATCTTATTTATTTAATGGGCTTCCATCTATCTACAGAAAAAAATGAAAAAATATTTGAAGCCTCAAACTAGTTTGTGTAAATTAGTTTAAGGTTATTTTTAAAATGGGTTTAAAAAACCCCATCAAACTGGAGAAACGGTTCATGTTTTTCTTTAGTTGGTTTTTGTTTGTATTTCTTTTTCTTTAGATTTTGTTGGAGATAGTGATGTCCTCGACCTTTGACCTTGGGGTTGCTGGTGAGGCGTGGCTGAGGCCGGGAGCTCTTGGTGGGCTCTAAGCTGGACCTCTGACCAGCTACAGGGCTCTGGGCAAGTCACCGAGCCAGTCACCAGCTGCCTCCTTTTTGGGAGAAGGGGCAGAGGGCCAGATGATCTCCGGGAGCTGTCCCAGCTGTAGGATCATGGGCTATATGTGTGCCTGTGACCTCATTCCCTGCCCGAGCCCAGGGTTGTAAACGTTATTTATCTCCTCGACTGCTTTTTATAACTCGAGAGCAGGCACAGCCGCGCGCTCAGCTGCGAGCTGTTGGCCCTGCATTCGAGTAACTGAAACCGCCAGCTGGAATGGCTGCCAGCAGCGGGGCAGGCAGTGCTTTCCTTTTCTTTCTTTTTTTTTTTTTAAAGAGCAACAACTTTTATTTTTTGTTTTATTTATTTATTTTCTTTTTTTATTCTGGAAGTCTAACTCTATCATTACAACTGACTATTTAAACATGTTTTGACATCTAATGATCCCAAAGTTTATATAATTAAGAAAAAACTTCCTAAGGACAGATATTGTATGATTCCACTCCTGCGAGGTGCCTAGAGGGAGTCAGATCCATAGAGACAGGGTAGATGCAGGGAGCCAGGGCTGGGGAAGGGGAGGGGGCCTTAGTGTTTAATGGGGGCAGAGTTTTAATCGGGGAAGGTAAGAAGGTTCTGGAGATGGGTGGTGGTGATGATTGCATGGTAATGTGAATGTACTTAATGCCACTGAACTCTACTCTTAAAAATGATTAAGATGGCAAATTTTATGTGTATTTTACCATAATTTAAAAAAACCCAATGCACACACAAATATATAAACTTACTAATACACAACATAAATAAATATACTAACTATGGCCAGTAGTGGCTTCCTATTAGTATCAATAGTGTTTTTGGCTTTATTGAGGTATAACCCATAGTTAAAATTGTAAGATATTTAAAGTGTACGTCGTGAGGATCTGATGCACGTGGAAGGGCCCCTCCCCCTCGGTAACTAACACCTATCACCTCACACATTTCTCTTTTTCTCTTTTTGGTGAGAACATTTAGAACATACGTTAACTCTCTTAGCATATTTAAATTGTGCGATACAGTCTTATCAATTATATGGCTTTTTATTGTGGTAAAATATGCATAACATGAAATTTACTGTTTTAACCATTTTAAGTGTCAGTTCAGCGGCATCAAGTGCATTCGCGCTGGTGGGCAGCGATCACTACTGTCCGTCTCCAGGACCTTCTCGCCTTCCCAAACCGACACTGTCTCCATTAAACACTCACTCCTCGTTTCCCTCCCCAGCCCCTGGCTCCCACCATTTTACTCCTTGTCTCTATAAATTGGACTGTCTTAGGTATGTCATGATGCTTTACAATCACAGAAAACCATGGGACGCCAAGTGTCATGAGTGGGTGCTGGAAGGGGTAATAAGCAGCAGCCTACACCTGATCAGAAGTCCCCTCGTCTCCAGAAAATCGTCAGGAACACCCCTCCCCGCCACCTCCAAGGAAATCCGGAGTTTTTTTCTACCCATAGTGCCATGGCCAGCCCTCTCACAGTTACCCAGCCAGGTTATTCCGTGTCTATTAATAGGCCGAAGAAGTATTTTCAAGAGTCCCTTGCAGGCTTTAAAGCCGTGTAAGTGCTTGGGCTTCCGAGTGGATACTCACCATTCACAGAAAGGCACTTAGAGCTCATTGTCTTTGGGATCCACTCAAGGGGAGAGGAAGGATGGAATTTCCTTTGCTCGGTAGACACTAGTAAGCACCAGACACCATAGGCTGGTGGCAGGAAAGGGGGCCCTAAGGGGCTGTCATGAATTTTGCCCGTAAGGAGCAGTGTGCATGTTCGAGGTTGTACCAGAAGTGTGGCTGTGCGATTGGACTTCAGGGATTAAGACACAGAAAACGGCTTTGTATTTTTAAGACTGTTACCTTGAGAGGTTGTTTTTGTTTTCTAAATTCCCTTTTCTAAGCTTATTAAAAACTTTTCTTCCCCCGATCTCCTCTCATGTCTTTAGTCCAGGGTTTCTGTACCTCAGCAGTGCTGACTTTTGGGGCTGGATAGTTCTCTGAGGTGAGGCTGTCCTATGCGTTGTAGAGTCTCCAGAAGGATCCCTGGCCTCTGCCCTCTGGATGCAAGTAGTCCCTTCTCCGCCCCACCAGTCCTGACAACCAAAAATGTCTCTTGACCTTGCCCAGTGTGCAGTTGTGCAGCACCACTCCCTGGTGAGAACCACTGCTCTAATCTGACGTATGGATTCCTGAATGAGCTGTCGATTCTTGTATTTCTGCTGCACAACTTGATGAATTAGTGTAATCATCGGGTCTCTAAGCCGGACCCCTTAGAATTCCTGGTAGAATTCTGCTCTGCCCTCTGATCTCTACAGTTAAGAGGTTGATTGATTGATCAATTGATTGATTCATTCATTCTACTGTGACTTGGCTCCCCTGTACTTTTCTAGCCCTACCCCCACCATTCTCTCCTACATCGTCTTCTTGCTACATTGGGTCCTTGGGGTCCTTTGAATGCCAAGGGAATTCTTACCTTGGGGCCTTTGCACGTGCTTTGTGTTCTGCCTGAACTGCTTTACGCCAAGATATGTGTATGGCCCATTCTTGTATTTAATTCGGGCCTGCTTGGCAGTCACTTTCTTTGAGACCACCTCGTGATAAATATCACTCGCAGACACCCTCTCCTTTGAGCCTGCCATGTGACCCATGGCAGATTTATTCATTGGTTTATTGTGTATCCCCTACCCTTCTCTGCAGCCTCTGTGCACTAGAAAGTTTCATGGGGACAGGGACAAGCCTGATTATCTCACAGTGTCCAGTCCCGTGGGGAGATGGAATCTGACGGTGTCTGGAACATGCTGACACGCATCTTCTCAGTTGGCACTGACTGAACCCTCCCGTGAAAGGTCTTACTTTTCACAGCAGAACTGGCACCGAGACCCTGGCCCTGAGTGCCCACCCGCTCGGAGCAGGTCCCCTTTGCTGTGTGTGTGTGTGTTTCAGGGGGAGATTTGAGTCCACCTGCTCTGCCTTTCTCTAGGGTTGAAGCTGCCCTCCCGGACTTGGTCTCCACCGTCTGAGTTGGAGGGGTCCCAGAAGCACAACCAGAGTGAGTACGAGGAGTCTGCCGGCGAATGCTGCTCCTGCCCCAAGACTGACTCCCAGATTCTGAAGGAACTAGAGGAGTCCTCGTTCAGGAAGACGTTTGAGGATTACCTGCACAATGTGGTTTTCGTGCCCAGGTCAGGGGTTTTCATTGGCTTGGGGTGGGGGGTCATGGCCTAGAGATCAAGATGAAGTGGAGACCCAGAGGGTGGGCTGGGTCCACGCTGAGCCTCTTCCCTGGCCGGAGGAAGAGACCTTGTGATTTCAACAGGAACCTTACCAGAAAGAGCAAATATTCATCAAAGAGGGGAAAGCTTAAAAAGCTCCACCTTTGCCCTCCGACATCTCCAGACTCTTTACTCCAGCCCCCGGTCTCCATCCGGAGTCCTGAGACCAGCTTTGTAGGGTTATTGACGCCAATCCTGAGAAATGCCTGCCCCACCCACCCAGGTTGATTTATCACCAAGTCCCGAGCTCAGAGCATTCTCTCTTTTTAAAATCTGTCAGCTTCTCATCCTTCTAGAACTTTGCACAGCATCTGCAGACCCCAAGACTCCTCTTATTTAAATATGTCGCGCTTTCCGTTAGTGTGGGGAGGGACTTGCTGATGCAATTTGATCTACCGAGAAGGTTTGCAGTAAAAATGACTCGGCTTTCCATTCTTGACTTCTCCGACGAGCAGACACTTAGGGAAAAGGCAAGTTTTTGTGGGTCGCAGGTTATTCCATCTATCTCAGTGCCTCAGTTTATTCATCTTTAAAATGGAGATAATAATAGTTTCTGTCTTTTAGGATTATGAGATGCCCAGAGTCATGCAGGGAGCCTTAACGTCGACACTGTCGACATTTGGAGCCAGATCATTTGCGGTGGGGCAGTGCTGTGCATTATGGGATGTTGAGCAGCACTCCTGGCCTCGCCCCCTCGAGGCCAGCGCCCCGTCTGCATCAGATCAGTCCTTTAATCTTCACAGTCACCTGCTGAAGCAGGTGCCACCTCCCATTACCCCAGCAAATGTGAGATGCGGGCTTTGTGTGGCCTCCTGCCTTTTTACCCTTGACCTCTCCCCTTCACCCTAAAGACCAGCAGACAGCTGCCTAGAAAGGTCTGATACGACTGGCCATTTCCAAAGTGGATTGAAACCCCAGAAGGTTTATGTTGGGATAAAACAAAATTCTAAAATGTGTCTCTTTGAACCCCCACCCTCACTCCTCATCCAAGTAGGCTACATGTTTCCTCGGATCCGTCAGCATGTAACGTTTCTTTCTCTTTTTTTTCCTCTTGCATTTTTCTCCCATGACCCTGAGTCCAAAAGAGTACTGAATGGCACAGGAGGCACTGAGGCAGTTTCTTTTTTACCCGCTAAAAACAAAACGCTGCCAGACTTGGGGAAATGGCATTCAAGGGGAACCCAGATGGCCAGGTCTCTGGGGGGTATTTTCTCTGATTTTTTTCTCCCTCTTGCCGAGTTCTCCACATCTTTGGGGAAAGATGTGGTGAAGTGATGGGAAAATGTGGCCCATGGTAAAGGGCAGGGCATCCTTGGGCTGCTTGGCCAGAATGTGGCTTCCAGGGTCTTAGAAGCAAGAGGTCCGTCTGAAGAAGTCCTGTCTGTACTCAAAGTGGTTGGTTTTGTTTTCACAGAAAAACCTCTTCAGGCCCTGGTGCTGAGGACAGTAGGTACGACTCACCTGTGGCCCCTGGTGGCTGCTCAGTGCAGGGCCAGCGGATTAGGCAGAGCAGAGAGCATGTGCGCCTTCCGACCCCAGGGGCTTCTGGGCTTGATGCATGCGAAGGGCCACTCTGCCAAGACTGGGCACTTCACAAATTCACACGTTAAACCTGAAATGGGATCTGGGCCTGAATGCGGGGAAAAATCTTTACTAACACACTTACTAAAACATAGGATCAAGGGGGTACTTTCTGGGCACCTCCTAGATGCCACATGTATCCCCCCTGCATTCACTCACCGAACATTTATCGATGCCTGCTGTGTACGCAGAACTGTGCCTGGTGCCCAGAGTCCAAACCATGTGCAGCAGGTAGTGGGGGAGACTGACCTGGAATAGAACATTTTTATTGGGGGTGACAAGTGTGGGACTACAGGTGAGAGCCAGGTGTGCCATGTCACTGATTCCACTGAAGACAGGGCATGCTTCCCTTCGAATGAACTCCCTGTTGTCCTGGAGGTGAGGATGGGCAGACGGAACCTGAGAGGAAGGCAAGGTGGTGGGACTCTCGGGAGGATGAGGAGGGCAAGACTGGAAAGGCAGGGTGGGGCCATGCGAAGGGATTTTTAATTTTATTTTTGTTGGGCTGTAACTGACATACAACATTAGTTTTAGTGCACAACGTAATGATTTGCTATTTTTATCTATTGCAAAATGGTAATCCCAGTAAGTCTGTTGAACATCTGTTACCTCACTGTCCCAGATTTCTTTAGTCACAGAAAGTTCGTAGTCACAAAGTTCTTGTGACAAGAACTTTTAAGAAGTACTCTCTTAGTAACTTCCAAATGTGCAGTATAGCATTAGCGAAGGCCACCGTTTCGTACCTTTATCCCCAGGACGCATTTCTTTTATAGCTGGAATTTCGTACCTTTCGATCCACTTCCCCCATTTGGCTCACCCTGGCGATTTTATTCTCTAAGCAGAGTCTGTATGTGTTTGTTTGTTTATTTATGTTCAGGCATCCATGTGGCCCCGATCTTCCCTCTAGTGGCCATTTGGAATATGATCGTATACAAAAGAAAGGTCTAGAATTTTGAGGCCTTGGCCCAGAACAGGGTTTCTTGATCTTACCTCTTTTAGCACTTGGGACCAGATCATTCTCAGTTGTAGGGACTGCCCTGGTCTCTGCTCACTTGATGCCAGTAGCACAGCCTGTCCCCCAAATAGTGACAACCAAAAATGTCTCCACACAGGCCCAGTGTCCCCCTGGTGCTGGGACATTGGGCAGAATCACCCAGGTTGGGAACCACTGGTCTAGTGGGAGGGTGTGGGATGATGCTAGATATTAGGGAGTGGAAGGGTCAGGTGATGTTTGATCATGGGGGTCTTCCCTGACCAGTTTGTGGTCTTTTTGGATATAATCCTTTTGGCATATACGTATTTTGCCTATTTGACGAGATCATTTTATGTTCTCAGTTGTCGAGCTATCAATTCCTTAGTTATTCATGAGGCATCAGTGTCTTGGCAATTTTATTAAGGCCCACTTGTGGCTGTATAGAAATGTTTGAATCTTGCTAATATGGATATATCTGGTTTCCATCTGAGAATCATTGGTCTTTTCATACAAAAAGGCCACAATGAACATCATAATGAGTAAACTCAAAGTGACTTGGGTTTCAGTGCAATAAAAACTGAGAGTTGACTTTAAAAGTTTGAACAGAAAACTCTACTTCCTGGTAATTAAAAGTAGATTACTTAGCCCTGGCCAGTGTGGCTCAGTAGGTTGGAGCATCGTACTGTGTACTGAAGGGTCGCAGGTTCAGTTCCTAGTCTGGGCACATAGTGAGGTTGCAGGTTTGTTTCCTCAGTTAGGACATGCACTGGAGGCAACCAGTCGATGTTCTCGCATCAGTGTTTCTCTCTTTCTCTCTCTCAAAAAAAAAAAAGGCGTTACTTAGATATCTATTGGGTCAAAGCAGAAATGGAAACTTTCATTAAAGTCTGTTTGAAAAATAGTGGAATTGTGAATCACATACCTTAACCTGTAGAATATTGTAAAGCTGGGCTTTGATGCAAGTCAGTAGACATACATACATGGTTTTGTAAATTAAGAAAAAAATTAAAATGTAAAAATATAAATGTATTAGGGAGGGAGGGGAAATCAATATGGCTAAATTTGTAAATAAAATCAAAGGGAAAAACCTCATAAATAACTAGAAGTAAGGAAGGTGACATAAAACTAGGGTCTAAGGAAGATTTTAATATGTTGCATTCCATTGACAATCTTGTGTTATGCAATTTGAAACTCGTCTAAGCTGATTCAATAAGACATAGAAAAATTAAATATTCTAATAACCTTGAAAAAAAAAAAAAAAAGACCCTTGGCCCAGATAGTGTTACATGTAAGTTATTTCAGACTTTGAAAGAGCAACTACTTCCTGTAATTTGGAAACTTTCCCAGAGCATAGAAATCTCTAGAAATCTACCCGGTTTATTTTATAAAACTTTGCAGAACCTGACAAAGATGCTACATTGAAAGAAAACCCCAGGACCAGCTAATATGGGACTTTAGATACAAGTGCCTAAATAAAACACTATGCTGGCAATATTGTTTATCTCAGAAGTGCAAGAATAGTTTAAGATCTGAGGATATGACAGTGTTATCTAGTTCATCAAGAGGCCCAGTAAGGAAAATCATATAATTTCATTTGATAATGTTAAATTCTAATTTAGAGAAGGGGGCGGGGAAGAGGCAATAAGATAAATATTACCTAGATGAAACCAATAACCAAGCTAACATCATTCTTAAAACTTTTCCTGTTAGAATTAGGAGTCCAATGTCATGATTACTAATTAACATATCTATTTAAAATAATTGATTGTGGGAAATAAAATCATTAATATTTGCAGATATTCTAGTGTAAGGCTGGACAAATGCTGTTTGTCAAGGAAGTTTTATTTGGAATGTAGCCACACCCATTTGTTTCCATTGCATCTATGGCTGCTCTCAAGCTACAATGGCTTGAAAGCCATTGAAAGTTGAGTAGTTGTGATAAAAACCACATGTCCCACAAAACCCAAAATATTTACTCTCTAGCACTTATGGTAAAAGTGTGCTGACCTGTTTTCTGGTGTGTTCTTTGAAAACCCAAGAAAATCAACTGTGAAAATCAACTGTGAAAAGTAGGGACAATATAAGTAAACAAAAGCCCGTGGCCATTGTAGCAATAATTAGTATATAAATCAAGGGGAAAGATCTCTTTCATAATTGCCATAAAACCTAAGGAATCCACATACAATTACCTGTAAAGAAAAAATTTTAAAATCTGCTGAGATAAAAAATGTTACAGATAAATGGGAAAGGTCATTTAAATGTTTCAGGTCATTTAAAAAAAGTTCACAGGCGAACAAGAATAAATCATGCAACACAGTTGATGAAGGATTAATATCCTTAGTGACTGGACAGCACAGGAGCGAGATGTGGAAAATAGGCTAAGGGGGGCATCCCCTAGAGAATCACAAGGGAACGAAGGAAAGGAAAGTTCTCACTCATCTGTACAAAGAGATACAGTAAAGCAGTAGAGCAATGCTTTAAAAAGGTCTCTCTCAGGTTGGAAATCTGAGATAAGTGAAGGAAAAGGAAACCCCACTGGCCTCACTCAGCGTGGCTGAAGTACAGTTTCATGGCCACTGGTGAGACCACAAGTCAACATAGAGGCCCGGATAGAAATGTAGCCGAATGGATTAAGAAGTATAACCTAGTGACTTCTCTTCGAGGAATCTACTTTTAGGACTTAATAAGACAACCAGACAATGACCAAAGCAATATTTATAATAGCAAAAAAGAATTTGAAAAACACTCATGTTAAAAATATAGGAGGAGCCTGGCCCGCTCAGTGGATGAGCATCGACCCTGAACCAAGAGGTTGCCAGGCCGATTCCCGGTCAGGGCATGTGCCCGGGTTGCAGGCCCGATGCCCAGTAGGGGGCGTGCAGGGGGCAGCCGATGGATGCTTCTCTCTCATTGATGTTTCTATCTTTCTGTCCCTCTCCCTTCCTTTCTCTCTAAAGTCAGTTAAAACATATTTAAAGAAAAGAAAAGAAAAAGATTTTATAGGAGGATGGTTAACTATGGCTCATGCAGAAATTGGAATTTTTTACAGTTTTCCAAGTTTTCTGCAATGAGCATGTGCTACTTTTGTCATAATGAGGGGGGAAAAACTCATTTCACACTGAAAAAGAAAAAAACATAAATTCTCTTCTACTTAGTATGTTTTGAGAAAACTATTTGATAAATGCTTCTAATACAACAAGCGAGTGCAGTGGATTATAAAACTAGCTTGACCCTCAACATAGTCATAATATTTCTAGGGGGAAAACTGCCCACAGGAAACAGTAGGCAGTGGAATGATGACTAATATGAATTTTCTTTATAGTTGTTCTGGTATTTTTAAACTTGTAGGCTGCCGACATTTATTTTTTCATATAGCTCTTTAAGGGGGGAAAAGTGTGTCAGTCGCATAGGCGTGTTTTTGGAGTTATCTGTACCAACCTGAATGGTGAGATTCTTTTACCAATAACTGAAGTTGAATCACTGAAATTACGCAGGTGCCCTAACTGATCATGAAATTAGAAGACGCCTTTTTTAAACTAATGGTGTCGGTCAGTGGCTCGGGCCACTGGGCAGACACCATGAGGCAAGGCTTCCTGGAAAGCTCGATTCTTGCAGGCTTTTGGCATCTTATTTTTAACACTGACCCTGGGCGGCCTGTTACTCTGCAAAATGAAAACCTGAAATCAAGCCCTGTCTGGTGGGCCTGCCCCCATACTTCTGATGCTTCGCAGGGCATCTTGAAAGCTGCTCAGGGTTGTAATTCCTGGCAATTTGCGTTTTAATTCACCTGCTCCCTCACATCCATTGCTCCAGTCTTACTGTAAGCTCTTCCTCTGCAGCAGCATTGATTTCAAGCTGGTGAGTGCGTGACCCTGTGTGTCCTGCTGTCCTGACAGGCCATCAAGGAAACGCAGGGCCCTCGGCGAGGAGGGGAATGTGACGACGGTCGTGCCCACAGCTCCGGGTTTCCCCAATACCTCCTCAACGATCGTGCCCACAAGCTGGGAGGAGCAGCGGCCCTTCGAGAAAGTGGTGAACAAGGAGTCGCTGGTCATCTCCGGCCTGCGCCACTTCACTGGCTACCGCATCGAGCTGCAGGCTTGCAACCAGGATTCGCCCGAGGAAAGGTGCAGCGTGGCGGCCTATGTCAGCGCCAGGACCATGCCCGAAGGTGGGGAGGCTCCTCCCGGGCCGGGAGACACACGCCCACCAGGGAGAAGCCCTCTACCCTCTCTAACTTATTTGCCTTTACCACTGTTGAGTTATTTTTAGTTTTTGCCAGCTTTATGGAGATGCAGTTGACATATAGCGTTGTGTAAGTTCCTGTAACAGTATACAGCATGTTGATTTGGTCCTGTTATATTTGCACTGTGATTATTCTGCATCTACCTCCACGACACCAGCCAGCACCTCCATCACGTCACATTATTACCAGTTCTTTTTTGTGGTGAGAACCTCTAAGTCCTACTCTCTTAGCAACTTCAGGTACACAGTACAGGATTTTTAACTGTAATCACCACGCTGTACATTAGATAGCCAGAAATTATTCATCTTAAAACTGGAAGTTTGTACCCATTGACCAACATCTCCCCATTTCCCCAGCACCCAGCCCCTGGTAGCCACCAATCTACTGTCTGTTTCTAGTTCAGCTTTTTCAGATTCTACATATAAGTGAGATCCTATGGTATTTGTCTCTCTTTCTGACCTAGTTCACTTAGCTTAATGCCCTCAAGGTCCATCCTTTCTTATTTTTAGTTACACTGGTCATACAGAGCCATTATAGAAACATTGGAAAAGACACACAAGCCATAAGAAAAATAAAAATTAAGAAATACATATAGCCCTGCTGGGTGTGGCTCAGTGGTTGAGCATTGACCTAGGATCCAGGAGATCTCAGTTTGATTCCTGGTCAAGGCACATGCCCAGGTTTCGGGCTCCATCCCCAGTCGGGGGTATGCAGGAGGCAGCCGATCAATGACGACTCTCTCATCGTTGATGTTTCTATCTCTCTCTTTCCCTCTCCCTTCCTCTCTCTGAAATCAATAAAGATATATTAAAAAACAAACAAAAAAGAAATACATATATACATATATGGTATTGAGGCTTCTAGAATTAGTCTGGGTTCTCCAGAGTAACAGAACTGACAACAGACAGACAGACAGACAGACTTAGATATGTGGACAGCCCTTTGAGGTGAGCTCTACATGTTTATTCTCCAGCGAGGGAAATGGAAATTTATGTAACCAGCTCGAGCTCGATAGCTCGTAAGTGGTGGAGGAGGGATTTGATCCAGGGGTCAGGTCCCTGCCTCTAATCACTGCTCCTTACAGCCAAGGCAGATGACATTGTTGGTCCCGTGACCCATGAAATCTTCGAGAACAACATCGTTCATTTGATGTGGCAGGAGCCAAAGGAGCCCAACGGTCTGATTGTGCTGTATGAAGTGAGTTACCGACGATATGGAGATGAGGTAAGACCCTTGACACCTGCGCCTGCAAGGCTGTCACTGGCACTTCCTTCCTCTTCTTAAATTCTGGCCCAGATGCTTCTCTCATTAGATGCTTCTCTCATTAGATGCTTCTCTCATTAGATGCTTCATTATTAGAAATCAAAACCTTGATACATAGCTTTCCAGGGAGGTGGGTCAGAAATGCGCGTCCACAGACCTCGTCCAACACTTTTTCATGTTGCTCTTCAGCTCCTCCAAGCCGAATGATGGCTGCCTGTGTTTGTGTCCCTCCTGACATGACAGGAGACAATAAGTGACTTTTTGTTGGGTGCCTGTCTTTACCACCAGAAGCTGTACAGGGTGATGGGTGAACACTGAGATGAACAAGACATGGGATCTAAGAACAAAAGAGTAGCTGAGTTATCCTGACAGCTCATTGTGTGCCCTGCTCATGTTAAGCTCTTTACATACAGCATCTCATTTATTCCATTTTATCATATCTAAGATGTGATGAGAGGCTCTGTTATTTTTATGGACCTCTAAGAAACAAAAAGACACTGTCGCCTCACAGTGGCGTTGCCTCTAAGATGCGTTCCAGTTTCAGAAATACCAAAATGTGAGGATGATATGCCTCTTGGGCCCAATGAAGTGCAGTAAATCCTCAGAATAACTCAGTGAGCTTGGTACTGAGGCTTCTAGAATTTAAGTTGTGTCCAGGGTTGTAAGAATAGAGTCAGGAGTCAAACCCTAGCCTCTCTGATGTTCTAATCTAGGGGTTGGCAGCTTTTTTTCTGTAAAGAGCCAGATAGTCAATATGTTTGGCAATGTCGCCAGATAGTCTCTGTTGCAAATATTCAACTCTGCCATTGTAGCTTGAAAGCCACCATATAGATGATATGTAAATGAATGGGCGTGGTGTGTGCCAATAAAACTTTATTTACAAAAACAAGCAGTGGGCCAGATTTAGCCTGTGGGCCATAGTTTGCAGCACCTCACAGAGGTTATAACAAAACTTTCCAATCTCTTGGAACGTTGGTGATCCTCTAACAGGTGGGCACAGCATGGTTTCCCCAGGCCAGAAGGCACAGGTAGGCTTTCCTCTGTTGACCCTTTCTGGAACCACATCTACTCAGCTTTGACAGTGATTTAAAACAAATCAGCAAACTACAGCCTGTGGTCCAAATCTGGCCTGAGGCCTGTTTTATATGGCTGCGGAGAGCTGTAAAAAGAAATGTGCATCACCGTGAGTACAGTGGCCAGCCCCGGCGTCAGCACGGGAGGGGACCTCTCAGGGTTGTATAAAGGGAGGCATGCCTCACAAAAGGTCATTATTGCAAGATTTATTAATGTCTTAGTCTGTGTATATTAATCCCATATGTCCTAAGGAAATAATTCAAAACTGGAGGGGGGTGCAAAAACTTTATTTATAATATTTTCATCACTAGCAAAAAGTGCAAGCCATGAGCTGGATGTTTGTTGGAAATGGGTCCATGGGAAATGGTATATCCGTAAAACGGGTGGATGAACAGCCTGTGACAAGGTGTTTGGGAAGACCTGTGCTCAGTATAATGTAAGGGCTGAGATTACAGGCTCTGGGCGTCAGCTCCTCATCTCCCCCCCTGCTCGAACAAACTAGCTTATGGCAGAAGGGAAGCTTAGTAGCTCTCATGACTGGACAGTTCAGGCGTTCAGGCATGGCTGGCTCTAAAATTCCTTTGGATCAGTTGCATCTTAAGTGTCCTCGCAGTGAGCCCAGCAGCTCCTAGCTGTCCTTCTTTGGTTTCCATGGTTCCAAGTCTCATATCCTCTCAGCGCCAGGCCTACCAGAAGAGAGAGTCTGTGTCCCAGCATTCCCATCCAGGCTGTATTGATTTTTTTTTTTAAGAGAGAAAGGAACAGGTTGAGAGAGAGAGAGACAGACAGACAGACAGTCGATTGCCTCCTGTAAGTGCCCCAATTGGCACTTGAATCTGCAGCCTAGGTATGTGCCTGGCCAGGAATTGGTATACAGGACAACGCTCCAACCAACTGAGCCACCTGTCCAAGGCTCGGGCATGAGGGTTTTTAAATAACAGCTTTATTAAGATATGTTCACGCCCAGCTGGGAGTGACTCAGTGGTTGAGCGTCGACCTAGGATCCAGGCGATCGGGGTTCGATTCCTGGTCAGGGCATATGCCCGGGTTGCGGGCTCGATCCCCAGTCAGGGGCAGGCAGGAGGCAGCCGATCAGTGACTCTCTCATCATTGATGTTTCTCTCTCTCTCTCCCTCTCCTTTCCTCTCTCTGAAAGCAATAAAGATATATTTAAAAAAAGATATATTCACATACTATGAAATATACCCATTTAACATGTACAATTTAATGGTTTTTAGTACATTCACAGAATTGTGCAACCGTGACCACAGTCGATTTCAGATTATTTTTATCACCCCCAGAAGAAACCTCACCCTCACCTTAGCTATCGCCCCCCAGTCTTCTCGGCCTCCTCTCTCTTCAGTTTCTGGCAGCCACTTTCTGTCTATGAATTTGACTGCTCTGGACAGGTCATATGAATGGGTCATATAACATGTGGCCTTTTGTCTCTGCCTTCTTTCGTTAGCATAATGTCTTCAAAGTTCATCTCCGTTGTAGCTTATATCAGTAATTTATTCCCTTGTATGACTAAATAATATTCCGTTGTGTGGACAGACCACATTTTGTTTATCTCTCCGTTGATTTGTTTATCCCCCCTTTTGGCTCTTAGGTATCATGCCGCTATATTAACACTCGTGTACAAGTTTTTGTGTGGCATGTTTTTAATTCTCTTGGGTGCATACCTGGGAGTGGAATTCCTGGGTCACGTGTAACTCGACATTTAACTTTTAAGGCAATGCCAGGCTCTGTCCCGAAGCAGCTGAACCATTTCATATTCCCAGCAGCAGCGTGTGAGGCTTCCAGTTTCTGTGCACCCTTGCCAAGCCTGTTCTGCCCTATCTTTTTTATTAGAGCCTTGCTAGTGGGTGTGACGGGGTGTCTCACTGTGGTCTCGATTTGCATTTCTGTGATGGCTCATTTGGGTCTGAGTTTTGTGCCCTTCCCCAAGCCAATGGGACTCTTCAGCTTCAGGCTGTCAGTGTGAGCCCTGGAACCAGGGTGGGGTTGAGGGTGGGAGGCAGGAGACACTCAGAGGGGAGGCACAGCTACTAAAGGAAGTTTGGGGTGTTGGTTACAAGGAGGAGAAGATAGATTTTGTGCAGTGAGCAACATGTATTTATGCTGCAGACTGTCCTTGATTTTATTCCTGCTGCTGTGACCAACTCTACCCCACCTGCCTGGAATTTTCCACGCTTGAGCACTGAAGTCTTACATCCTAGGAACCCCTCGTTCCCCGGTAAACTGGGACAGCTGGTTACCCTGTTGGCATTGGACCTAATCTTATGTTTTCCCAACTGCCTCTGGCTGGCCTGCCTCTCCTGTTCCTGGAGTCCAAGGGTCACCAGTGGGAATCCCGACCATGAATCCCACCAGCCTTTGCCCTGCCTGCCCTGGCCCCCATCGCTGAGAGACCGGCCCTGTTCAACATTTAGGGGGACAGAGAGGTGGGGGGAAGTTAGGAGAGAGTGAGAGGTTACAGGAACTTCCTAAAAAACCTGTTTATAGACAAAACTGGTTGGTGTCTCCAACATTTACCTTACCTTAATTTTTGTCTAGCGTCTCTGATAAAGTACAAAACCGGGTAAACATTTTTTTTACACCATTATGACTTTGCCAGCTTTACAAAACTCTCGCCAGCTGCTGCTTCTTTGTGTTTTTTTGGTGTCTATGGGGAGAGCTGTATCAGGTTCCAGTTCCTTTCACCATGCTCCCTTCTCAGTCCCCACCCCTGAGGCTGGGGCAAATGACTGAGGTTGGAGGTTGCACGTCCCCTTTGTCCTGCATAGTTGCTACCTTTGGTTTCTATATTTGCTTATTGGTCCCTTTCTACTTGGTGACTCATCCTTGTACGGACCTTTGGACTAGAGCTCCCCAGCCTCGCCCACAGCTCGATTTGTTTTCTGGTTGCTATTGTCACATGATGAGCATGGGAGCTTTTACGTTTCTCTCTCCTCCTAAATTTTCCAGGCCAGTTCTCGGCATGCATTGTGAGCTTGGAGTTGTTTTGGAAAGTTTTCAAAGTCGGGCCCCGTGAGCCTCATGCCTTTCCTAATAAGCTCTGGGCTTATCTCTATTCCTGTGCTTATCACTGGGGTGAATATGCGGATCTTCTCTCTTTTATCAGGCACTTAGGTAGATCCCCAACTTTTTAAATGAAGGTAGAAGAAAGGTAATAAAGGTAAGGAAGGAAGGAGAATTTAAATTTGTTATTAAGACATTAAACCCATGTATCTATTGTTGAGGGAGAGGCCAGGAGGTGTGGGGGAAAAGCCTGAAATGTGATTTAGGTGACGTGGTTCCTTCTTTCCTGCCCTTCTGGGACTTTCTGAAGGTCTGGTGAAAATACCCCACAGAGGTTGCAAGAAGTTTGGGAGCCAAAAAGTTTGGGGTTGAAGGGCTGGCCCTGCCGCTCCGACTAATCATCTCATATCCTCAGCCAGGGGTGGGCAAACTCTTTTTGTATGCCTGATTTTATACCACTTGTGGGCTAAGAAATGCTTCCACATCTTAAAATGATTGGAAAGAAATGAAAGAAGAATAGTGTTGCAGGATGCAGCCAATTATGTGAAGTTCAGCTTTCAGCCTCCACTGTGCTTCATGGACACAGCGTGCCTGTTTGTTTACAGATCTTACACATTTGGGGTTTGTCTCTGGCTGCTTTTGCTTCTTTTGATGGCAGGGTTGAGTTGGTGACAGTGACCATCTTGCGCCTTGAAGCTGAAAATATTTACTCTCTGGTTCTTCACAGCAGAAGTTCACCCACTCTCCCCTAAGCCTCACTTTCCTTGTCTCTAAGGAGAGACTGAGCCTCGGGGTTGTTGTAAGAATTAAATAAAATGATCTAGGTCAGTGGTTGGCTGTGGTCTGGGGAGACTGGCTGTTATCAGTCCTTGTCTGTAGAGCTAAGGTAAAATTCTGGAAGTCTCGAAGTTTCTTGCATGTTGCACTCTGTGCCTTAACTCCTTGTGTGTCATTTCTGAGCAGACCCCGTCCACGACCCTCCCACCCAGGCGGATGCTCCTGAAGGAATGAATCGTAACCCCCGTCCTCTCTCCCCCTGTCTTCCAGGAGCTGCACCTCTGTGTGTCCCGCAGGCATTTTGCTCTGGAGCGGGGCTGCAGGCTGCGTGGGCTGCCTCCGGGCAATTACAGCGTGAGGATACGGGCCACCTCCCTGGCGGGCAATGGTTCCTGGACGGACCCCACCTATTTTTATGTGGCAAACTACTGTGAGTCTGCACGGCAGCTTAGACAAGTTGGGTCTGTGCTTGCTGCTGGGAACAGCAGAACATTTCAGGGAATAGTTGGGGGCGGTTAGAGGCTGTGCCTGCTGGCCCTGGACTTGACCTCTGGGTCTGCCTGCTGCTGTGCGACAGGGGCAAGGTGCTTGTCCTCTCTGAGCTTGCACTTACTCATCTGTCCATGGGGATAATAGTAGGACCACCTCTGGGGGTGAAGGGAAATTTCAGTGACAGGAAGGTCATGTGGCTGGCACAGGGCAAGTCTGATAAACACACCAGCTCCTGTGAAGTAGTGTTTTGATCTTTGTTATTAGCTGGGCCATGTCCTCCAATGGAGTAGGTGGCAACTTCCCTGCTCAGCCTTGGATGTGCTCTCCATGTTCATGCAGTAAGTGCCGCCACTTGGCCAGCTGGACACTGGACAGTAGGGTGGGGAGAGGTGGGGAAGGCTGAGCTGGTCAGGGAGTGCCTCCTGGTGACATCTTGGCCAGGACCTGGAAGAATGTACAAGTGGGGGTAAAAGAAGATGTTTAGTTTGGCCTGTGGTAGGAACACTAGAGTGAGTGAACAAATAACTTGGAAGGAGGGGAGCCTAGACCAGGAGGAGCAGGGGCTTGGTGGCAGGGGTGAGATGTGGCCTCTGCTTGGCTGGCTGGAATTTCACGGACCTGGCATGGTGGGAGTGTGGGAAGTGGGGAGTGGGGGTGATTCTTGCTGGGAGGCCTCTGGTAAGGGTCAGGACTAGGATGAGATTTTTGACACCAGCCGGGTGTCCTGCACTGTGATTCCAATGCTGTGACTGCAGTTAGCATGGAGCCCACAGGGTAAAGAGCACAGTTTTCAACCAGGCTGCTCTCACCTTGACCGCAGGTGCAGTTTGGGGGTTCTCTAGGCCACCTGCACTTCTGACCAACTGGCTACAAATTCGGGGGTTCTCAGGACGCTTTCCTATTAGATCATTTGCTAGAATGGCTCACAGAACTCAGGAAAGTACTATCATTACAGAGACAGTTTTATTGTAAAGGATATAAGTCGGGACCACCCAAATGAAGAGACATATAGGACCAGGGCCAGGAGGGTCCTGGACACAGGGCCATGTGTCCTCTCTCCGCTGATCAGGAAACATCATGTCACCCTCCCAACATACCCATGTATTCATCCTCTGAGCTTTGCCGGCAGAGTTTTTATTGGGGTTTCATTACCTCGGTGTGATTGATCTTATCTTTGGCCATGTGACTGAACTGTATCTCGAGCCCTGCTCCTCTCCCTGGAGGTCAGGCTGACTGGAAGTCTCACCCCTCCGATCACATGCTTGCTCTTCTGGTGACCAGCCCCCATCCTGAGTCATCTCACCTTCTGGCATAAACTCATGTGTATTCCAAGAGGCCCGTCAATGACAAAGACACTCTACTCCTTAGGATATCAAAGATTTGGAGTCTCCCGTAAGAACCAGGAACACCATGGATAAAATTCAAAGGAAAATATCAGAGTGGGAGTATCATATAGATATTAACAAAGAGTTAATATCTTTAATACAGAACGAATATATAGTTGACTCCTGAACAACATGGGTTTGAACAGTGTGCATCCACATATACGCAGATTTTTTTTTAATAAATAGAGTAAATGTATTTTCTGATGATTTTCTTAATGACATTTTCTTTTCTCTATCTTACTTTATTGTAAGAATATATTATATAATACAAATAACTTACAAAATATGTGTTGCTCATCTGTTTGTTATCCATAAGGCTTCCTGTCAACAGTAGGCTATTAGGAGTTGAGTTTTGGGGGAGTCAAAAGTGAAGCGCAGATTTTCAACTGGGAGTGGGGGCCGGCGCCCCTCACCCCGGTGTTGTTCAAGGGTCACTTGTATATATATTATATGAGTAAAAGATAGATGTCCTAGCATAAAAATAAGCAAAGAACATAGATAACTCATTAAAAAAAAAAAGAAAACGTAAGAAAAAATGTCCATTCTCACTCAAAAGCATAGTAAAAAAGAAAAAAATGCAAATTAAAACAAGTTGTAATTTTCAACTTATCAAATTGGCAAGGTTTTTATTGTTGTTTTTATAATTACAGTACTTAGTGTTGTCCAAGAGTTCAGACACATGGAAATTACTTTATGGTTGGTGAGTGCTAAAATGTAATACTTTAATAATGTGCGTCAGAAATTTATAAGGGATCTTACTATTTGAGCCAACAATTCTGGTTCTAGAAATGTATAGTAAGGAAACAATCAAAGGTGTCTAAAAAAGATACATGTTCAAGGAAGTTGAGCATAACATTACTCACAGTAGCCAAAAATCTGGAGTGTTAGATGTTACGCTTTAGATTACAGATGCCCCTTGAGCAACGCAGGGGTTAGGGGTATAGAGCCTCCTGCGCCATCAAAAATCCTTGTATAACTTTCCACTCTCCAAAAACTTAACTATTAATAACCTACTGTTTACAGGAAGCCTTACCAATAACATAAGCAACTGAAGTAACACCTATTTTGTGTGTTATATATATTATATACTGTATTCTTACAATAAAGTGAGCTAGAGAAAAGAAAATATTAAGAAAATCATAAGGAAGAGCAAATACGTTTACAGTGTGTATTTTCTGAAAAAAGATGTGTGTATAAGTGGGCCCACGAGGTTCAGACCCATGCTGTTCAAAGGTCAACTATGCTTTTTAAAGAAAGTCTTTATCACATAACAGGCAGGGAAGCAAGGTACCAGGGTGCAAAATTGAAGGAGGTGCTCACTCTCAGGGGCTGTCCTTCTCCTTGCGTGTCCCAGAGCAAGAGTTTCTCAGATTTTGCACCCTGGGGGCCTCCCTTCCATCAACTTTGTTTTGACTGCCACTGGAATCTGAGGAGTGAGCAGGACTGTGGGGTCTGGGAAGCAGAGATGGGGTGCACCATGGCTCTCAGATTCTGCCCTGAGACATGCTGAGTCCTAACCACTTGGTAGCCTCCAGCTTTCCTGCTGCTTAGGGAAAAGGGAGGGCAGGAGGGACGTTCAAACAACTGCACATAACCAGGCCATTTCTGTTTCTCATATCACATTCAATAACCAGACATTTATGGAGACTTTCAGCCTGCCAGGGGCCACTGGAGATGGCACTGACAGTTTGCTGTCAGCTAGGGAGGTGCAGGAGGACGAGGTATCTCAGGATAGAGCCAGCCACCAAAGGCAGCCTGGGGCATTGGTCAGACCTCACTCAGATGGCCCGGGTCTAATGCATGCTGCTCTGTGAATCAGCCCTGGGACTTTGGGCAAGACCCCTCTCCTCCCTGAGCCTCTGTTTTCCAGTCTATTAGCTGGCGTTAGTCAGAGTACCTCCCACCTTGACTTACAGGACAGTTAAATAAGATCACCACACAAAGCACTTCACACAGTGCCTGGCTTTTAGTAAGTGTCCCTTAAGCTGCTATTATTAAAATACTCAGATGACCGGATTCCTTCTCTGACTTCTCCCAACCCATTTTTTCCTTGACTTGGAAGAGTCTGGATAAATAGGCGTGTTTACAGTTTCTGACAACTTGGCCTTGTATGCAAATTAAAAAAATAAAGGCCACATAGTATTTCTGCAGCTAGTTTAAACGGGGTTCTTTGGGGGAAATCACTTTATTTTGCCTGGCACTCTTCCTGGCAACCAGGACACCCACCAGTGTCAGTGGGCCAACCGTCGAGTGAGAAGGGGCAGGACTGACCGTCTAGCACACAGAGGACACTCCTGCTGGCTTTTTTAATCTGTCAGAGCTGCTGTTAGGAATCAAGACAGGCTATTTAATTTGCAGGGCTCAGTACAAAGTGAAAATGTGGGGCCCTTGCTTAAACCCAGAGCATGGCCCCTCTGAGTGTGGGACCCTGGGTGACGGCCTGGGGTGCATGGCTATGAAGCTGGCCCTGGATGGGACAGGAGAGGCTGGCAGCAGGCAGTGGTCTGGGGGTCAGGGTTGTGCTTCTAGAATTCAGACCTCTGAGCCTGCTGTCCAGCCCCAAGGGTCCAAATGGTGCTTCAGGACTGCTGGGAAATAAGGGTCTAGGAGACCAGCAGGGAGAGGCTCAGGGACAGGAAAAAAAAAGATGGGGGACAAGTGTGTGTGGCCCACTGTTGTATTTGTAGATGTGATTTGTGATGTGAACACATTTTGATACAAAACATGTATTTTCTTATTCTATTTCAGTAGATGTTCCATCAAATATTGCAAAAATCGTCATCGGCCCCCTTGTCTTTGTCTTTCTCTTCAGTGTTGTGATTGGAAGTATTTACCTGTTCCTGAGGAAGAGGTGAGTGGGGCAGGGGTGGGTGCTTAACAGTCGGCTCTCCAGGAAAATTAAGCCTAGGTACACAGATACAGGTACAGCTGTATCTAAGTTTGTTATAAAGTTTACTGATCTAAAGGATGTATAGCATGCAATTTACAGATAACGATCATAATACAATGTACAGTGCAGTTTATAGTAAATTCCCTCACCAAATACTTTCATTGGTGTTTCTCCCTGAACCTTTGTTTCTATAGCCAACCTATGGTTGTAGTTGACAAACAGGTGTTCTTGAATGTTGATTGATATTTTGTTTATGTTAAAAGAATAGACCAAAAATGAAATAAGACATTTATGACATGTTTAAGTTTAATCTACATCAGTAACATTTTTTCTGTCACTTTCTCAAGCCCAGAGAAACAACAGAACAAGAAATCAAGCCTTGGTTTGTAGCATGTGCCTATTGCCGTGGTGTAAATATTCCCACTGTGACCAATTTCAAGCTATAGACATGATATCGTTGGATGCAGAGTTAGGAAGGGATATGAAGTTGCTCACTATTGTATAGTGTCTCTGCCATACATCTACAATAATGTAAATAAATGAGGTGACATAGGTGGCCTTAAGAGCACTGATCATAGTAAAAAGTAGTGTGATAATGAAGAAGTAGTGAGTTTTGAATATTGTTACCTTTGCTTTTAATATAATTTATTTAATTATAAGCCTGTAATTTATTTATTTATTTTGTTAATCCTCACTTGAGGATATTTTTTCCATTGATTTTTAGAGAGAGTGAAAGGGAGGGAGTGGGGAAAGAGAGAGACAGAGAGAGAGAGAAACTTCAATATGAGAGTGACACATTGATTGGTTGCCTCCCACACAGGCCTGACCAGGGTTGGGGATCGAACCTGCAACCCAGGTATATGCCCTTGACCCCTTGACTGGGTATCAAACCCATGACCCTTTGGTGCACAGGCTGACACTGTAACCACTAAGCAACACTGGCCAGGACTGACTAACAGTGTTTCTTGTGAGCTGGGATGAGATGGCTCCAGAACAGCACTGGTGCGTGGATGCTGCTGATAAGGGTGCTGCTTACACCGCGGAGGCCTATAGCCTGTAGGGACCCATGAAGCCCTGTGGGAGTCTCAAGCTGGAATGCCTCCCTTTTCTCTTCCAGGCAGCCAGATGGGCCGATGGGACCACTCTATGCTTCTTCAAACCCTGAGTACCTCAGTGCCAGCGATGGTGAGTACCGTCCTCTTTCCTATGGGTGGCCAGAATCCTACTATCCAGTTTCCTTTGCCATCACGGTCAAGTGAAAGTCAAGGGTTCACACCCCAGGAGACTGAGACGAGCCCTCTTGTTCACTGGAGCTGAAGACTTGCCCCTTGCTACAGAAACGCCATTACTGGGAGCAGTCAGACACCTGCTGTCTGGCGCCTGTTTGAATGGGCTGATCTAGCTGGTCTGGGACCTGTCGGCTGGGCTGGGCTGGAAGGCTGAGAGCCTCGTGCCCCAACTGTAGGGGTGTGGAGCTTGGGGCCTGTGCCAGAGATCGCTCAGGGTCAGAGCCAGAAAGCTATGCCTGAACTTGGTGCCCAAGCTGGGAGGTGAGAATTGGAAGCCAAAACGGGAGGTTGGGGATGGGGTGGGAAGACAAGAGACAAGATAGGGTGGGTTGGAGGCCGTGTGGGTGCCAGGGACACATCTGCTGTTGTTGGTGGGAGCATAGGTCTGACACCCAGATTTTCCTTGATTGTACCAAAGGGCAGTGAGTGACCCCTGGAGATAAGGCCTGGCTGCATCTGTTACATTACAAGTTTCTAAACTGCTTCATGCAGCAAAAATAAAGTCACTTCAAGGCATGAGCACCATTGCCCAGCAGGACAGTGGCTTGGGATACAGGGGTGGGTGGTGTTTTTAAGGGTGCCCCGGATTTGTTTTAATCATGTCTGATAAGACATGCAGACACAGAAGTGACTGTCCTGAAGGAAGATGTTTATCCTCATATGCCCTAGAAACAGGCGGCATGTACCATGCCAGGCCACATGAGGAAGCACCAGGGTCTGTCAGGAGGCAGCAGGAAGGGGGGAAGCATGGGTGAGAACCTTTATTGTGGTTTCTGCAACAAAGGCAGGGCTGGGTAGGACAGGGCGAGACTTAGGGTTGGCTCATGTGAATAATTTCAGGTGGCTCTGGGACACAAGGGCTGCCCTAGTTGTCTGGCAGCTGGCCCTGGGGTGAGTAATGACTAAGGCAGGTGGATAGTGGCCCTGAGCCTGAGAGCTCCATAAAGGAGGTGGGGGGATGGGCTCTGGATTGGTTGGTTTGCATGTCAAAGGAACTTTTCTAGGCGAGTCCTTACCATTACTAGGAACTGGTTACCCCTGGGTGGGGGGCAGCGGTCCTTCCAGGGTAAGCAGGGCGCCCAGATGTCAGAGCGTCAGAGCAGAGAACCTATAGAAAGTAGGTTATTGCAGATGGGAATGTGCAGAGGGAACAGGAGCGGGAGGGAATGAACATTGATCGAGGAGCCTCCTCTCCATGTTTGGGAATGGCGCTGGTATGACACATCAGAGACAGGGAAGCTGATCCTCAGGGCTGCTGTTAGGTCTCACAGTTAGGGGTAAGGCCTAGGGACACACACAGGGAAAGACCCAGGCTCAGGACCCTGGGGGCAGGGTGCCCCTATTGAGCATCTGTGAGTCATTTGGGTGCAGAGCTCTTGTGTGATTCAGTGTCCTTGCATGAGCTTTTGGCTAGGGCTGCTATAACCATGTACCACACACTGGGTATCTTAGAAAACAGAATTTAATTTTCTCACAGTTCTGGAGGCTGAAATTTTGAGGTCAGGGTGATGGCAAGGTCAGTTTCTCCTGAGTCTTTTCTCCTTGATGTGTAGATGGCCGTCTTCTCCCTGTGTCACACATGGTCTTCCCTCTGTGTGTCTGTGTCCTAATCTCTTATAAGGACACCAATCTTGTTGGATTACAGCCCACCCTAATGACCTCATTCTACCTTGATTATCTCTTTAAATATCTTATTTCCAAATAGAGTCACATTCTGAGGTCCCAGGGTTAGGGCTTCAACCTATAAATTGGGGGGG